AACGTGAAGAACAACACAAAAAATCCCCCTTGACAGACTGTTCTATAATTCAGTTATTGTAGTTAATAGAAAACTACAACGCATTCAGAGAAAAAAAGCAATTTATGCCACGCAAATGCATCGCTTTGGAAACCATACACACCCTTAAAAATTTAAAAAATAGCTGGGAATGCCCACATGCCCAATGAAAAAGAACAATTTTATTGTTTTATAATTTCTGTTTGCATTGTTTAAAATTTTTTTTTTTTTTTTAATTATGACCTAAACTTCAAAACTCATTCGGAAAAATAAACCAATGCTTATCCTTACTCAAATATACAAACACAAAACAAAGTGACAAAACAAACAAACAAACAAACAAACAATCAGACAAACGAAATGACCTGTATACGTGTCTGGTAGATCATGAGTCAACCCAAAGACCCTATCCTACGTACCACTGCAAGCTCCACGACTGCTTGACTTCCTCCTGTAGACAATGTGTGGGTTATGTGCCCCTGTGCTACGCCGCGCTCGCCCCGAGTGCTGGCCCTTGACTGGCTTGATCACAAGGTCATGGCCGATGCTGGGGACGCTAATGAGGCCATGCTGAGGAGAAATAGTGTACATGAAAGTAATTGTAAGGATTTAACGGCCTTACCAACACTAATGTGTTATTTAAGGGGCGGGACTTCCAATTCTAGCGTCCCTGATAATAATAATTAATTGCAATTTTAATAAAACCAGTAGACCTAAGCCTAAGAATAAGAATAAGAATAAGAATAAGAAAAAGAATAAGAATAATGCTTTTTTTAAAAAGAAACTACACATACTTTGTAAAAGGCGTAAAATTTCGAAGGCAACAAAGAACATAATATAATGAAGACTGGCACTTTCAACAAAGAACACAATATAGCGAGGTCTCAGACTTTCAACAAAGTCCATAATATTATATTGAAGACTTACGCTTTTTAACAAATAACGTAATATTAACCCTTTCAACAAAGAACAGATAATGAAGTCTGGCTCTTTCAAAAATAACATAATATAATGAAGACTGATTCTTTCAACAAAGAATACAAAGGCCCAATGAAAACTCACCCTTTTAACAAAGAGCACAAAATAAAGATTGACTTTTTCAACGAAGAATACATAAAATGAAGACTAGCCCTATCAACAAAGAGTACAAGATAAAAATTGACCCTTTCAACTCACGACCAGCAAAGAATGGACTCACCAAACCATCGCATGTGGACACAGCGACCGTTGACCCATTGTGGGTCAGAGACTTGCCAATGTAGAAGCAGTCATTGTCAGCGTCCTGAGTCATACGGTCCTGGTTCGAATCCACACACGAGGACATTTGGACGGTCCCGTTGTTGACTCTGTGCAGTACACAACCTGAATAGAAATTATTAATTTGTGCAACTTTGTTGTAGTTTGAACGTCCCATGCAACATGGTAAAGTTATTTAAGAGGTTAGACCTCTGAATTTATCGTCCAAGTTATAAAAAAAAAACAATAAATAAGTAAATAAATTTATTAATTAAGTAATTGTTATTTTCATGAATGAATGAATAAATAACGCTTTATTGAACCTCATAGGGAAATTTGGGTTAAAATTGTAAACATACACACAAACATAAATGTATATTAGCTGCTTATTGTCTTTGCGAAATGAGCTACACTGTATAGGTTTAACACCCCTTGCAACACTGTGTGAGGAAACTTTAGAGAAGAAAATTGTCCGTCTTTGTCCAGTTTCAAAACGAGACCTATTAAATGAGAAGAGAACACCGTAACCTCTAGACCACGAGATAGCCCCCCCCCCTCCTCAGGCTGCTTCAAATCTTCCTGTCGGGGCACTAGTGGTAGAAATGAGACTCATCATCCCAGCATGCAAACAGAGAAATTCGGGAATAGAACTCATATCTTCAGCCTGCAGTCACAAACTAATACCCAGCGCCCATTGGGAGATCAAAAAACCGATCGCCTGATTTGCGGCCTGAAAACAAACACGTTTGGATTTTGAGGCTGCGAGTCGAGCAATAAGTTTGTGTCACAATGGTTGCTTTGTGCCCTTAATCTGGCTAGTACCGCCTGTCAAATCGAATCGACTCAAACCGAACTGAACCCAGCCGAACCGATCGTACCAATGGGCACCCTGTATAAAAAGTCCATCAAAAAGCGGATGCATAGCCGTGTGAACCTGCAAGGGTAACACGACAAGAACTAAACATCTTAACTTTTTTTAAAATTTGAAATTGACACATTAAAAAACTGTTGACAATCTTTTCCTTCACGTTGATTCAAACCAAATTAACATGGCATTTAGAGACCAGATCATACTAAAAATCAACTAATTATTATAATAATCTTAGAAGACACTCTACCCGGTGCCAGCAGGCGGTTGTTGTGAGTCAGAACAAGGTGGAAATCTTCTCCAAAGGCGTGGAGTTTGAACTCAAGGAAATTGTTGTCCTTGACCTTATCGGCGCTTCGCTTGTGTCGACATCCAGGTACACGGACTGGTGACGTCACAATATATTCCGGAACTGAAATAAGAACGAGAATGATGGAACTGCGTACAATCAGTTTTGTAATTAATGGTTATACAATTTCCCTTTCCGTGTACTCTGTTGTTGTTGTTTTGTTGTTTTTTTGTTTTTTTTTTACTGTTTCTGAGGTTGTCTGTTCAGTTGATGTTTTTCTCTAGTTCTTGCATGTCAGAGCAAGGACGGCTTCGTTTATTTGTTTTCGTTTAGCTTTACTTATTTTTTAGATTGAGTGCTGTGGGGTTGGGGGGGGGATAACCTTATCTTTACAAGCTGAGCTGAGCTGCGATATAAATTTAAACATCCATAAACCAACAATAACGACATGAGTCAGCCAGTATCTCCCACCAAAAGTAACACAACAGGAGGGGGCCACTTTTCAGCACGTCTGGAAAATAACATGCTCATTGTCTTGTCTTGCTAAGCTCTCGCCAAGACAAAAAGCAACACATTTGCAACACTTTGTTATCTTCTCCCCAAGGACACGCTTGGGGTTTTGCTTGCTTTGCTTTGCTTTGTTTTTGTTTTAGTTTGTTGGTTGTTGGTTGTTATTTGTTTTTGTGGGGTGTTTGTTTGTTTTTTGGAGGGGGGGGGGTTGTATCATTTTTTAAATAATTTTTTTGGGTGCTGTTTTCAGGGTTGTTTTTTTGTTTGTTGCTTTTTTTTGTTTTGTTTTGTTTTCTTTG